ACACACACACACACACACACACACACACACACACACACACACACACACACACACACACACATATCCACAATTTGGTACAGCTATCTTTATGGGGACTTGGCAATATTATCCATTATTTTCTAAAGCCTAACCCTAACCCTAAACTCACAGCTACCTACCTGCCCCTAAAACTAACCTAAACTCCATTCACATTCACACCTTAGTCCTGAACTTAACCCCCAACCCACCAACAGCATTTCCCCTTAATCGGACTAGATCCAGGTCCCCATAAGTGACATTAAGTCCCCACAAGTAGGAGTGTATGCCAAAAAACTGTCCACACACACACAGAAAACCCATCACTCGCCAAGTACTCCAACCTTCCATTAAGTTCAAAAAACACCATTTATCTTTCACTGACCACAGTGTATGCACACGTTCTCTCTCAGGTGAAATCCAACTGGCTGCTCGGACCACTTAACTCCTACCAAAATTAGGTCTGAGAAATCTCCCATAAAAGCCCAAATGTGTTATCACCCCCCATCATTATTTTATTTGCCGCTAACTCAAGAAGCTCTACTGTCCTTCCTCTTTTGTTTCCTCTTTGGAAATCTCGACAGATGATGGGGGGTTGGGGATGGGCACGAGGCTGGAGGCAATTATGCGTCAGGGAAGAAAAGAGCGAAGACCTAGCTGAGTGGAGAGGCCGCCCCTGACAGAGGGAACAAAAAGAGAGGATGACATAATGATGGAGGAAATCATACATGTAGGTAAAAGTAAGACTGTGGGGGTGTGCGGGGGGAAGACAAGAGATGCAGGGTGGGCAAAAAGAAGGCAGCGTGACCAAAGTGTGTGCTGGGTGTGTGTTTCTGATGCAAAGAGACGTGGCTAACTCATCCATGGAGCTACCTCAGAAACAATACTCAGCTCGGCCCAGTTTCGCCTTGATAACAAACCCTGCTGAAAGAGACGTTTCCCCGGGGCAGAAACATTACATAATGCTACAGGTTTCCCTAAAAACTGAGCAAATCTCAAGGCCGAATAAACTAAATTTGCTTTAAGGGTCCATAACGAGACAAAACAGCTGTGATATCTCACCCATTTTTGACTATTAAAGTAATTTCAAACATGATGTGCAAATTTGTAAAAGTTTATACAATATACAGCAGGTAAAATAAGTATTGAACACGTCACCATTTTTCTCAGTACATTTAATACTAGAGGTGCTAATGATATGAAATTTTCACCAGATGTCGGTAACAACCCAAGTGATCCATACATACAAAGAAATCAAACCATAAATGTCCAGAAATTAAGTTATTTGTAATAATGTGGAATGGCACAGGGAAAAAGTATTGAACACATGAAGAAAGGGAGGTGTAAAAAGGCATGGAAAGCCAAGACACCAGCTGAACTCTCTCAGTAATTAGAAAYCAAGCCTGCCCCTTGTCAGTGCAAGTTAATATCAGCTGGTTCAGTCCCAAATGATGGCCAGGTATCACACAAGAACCATCTGACGATGGGTAAAAGTAAAGAGCTCTCTCAAGACCTTCACAACCTTATTGTTGCAAAGCATAATGATGGCATCGGTTAAAGAAGAATGTCTAAACTTCTGAAGGTTCCAGTGAGCACTGTTGGGGCCATAATTCAGAAGTGGAAAGAACATTATTTCACCATAAAC